AACCCACCAGGAAATATGCAGGGGCAGCGGCCACCAAACAGGTTAGTGTCTCACCGTTGCATGCCAAGATGTCAGGATTCTGAGCAATGCTTAGTTTCTCAGGGAGTCGGTCTGGGATAAATCTCACACTATGACCCAGGGACCTCAGAGGCCTTTTCCTCTCAACCCCAGGTCAACCCCATGTGTCACATAACAGAAAACTTTAAAATAGCTTTTGATTCCAAATCTGTCAGTGTGCTAGGAAAGATGATAGCCAGTCTAGAAAGGTGCTTGTGCACGTGCTCTCTGCTGGCCGTCATGCAAACCCACAAGCATAGATGCATGTCCTGAATCCCACACTCTACATAGACAAGAATTCCTACTGCCGCTTTGGGTGCTGTTATGAATTGTGTCCCTCTCAAAATTCATTAGTCCAAGTCTTAAGCTCCAATGTGGTGATATTTGGAGACAGGGCCTTTAACAAGGTAAGGTTAAATGAGGTCATTTGCATGGTCCTCATGCAGTAGGACTGCTGTCCTTATTAGAGGAGGAAAAGACCTCAGGGAAAAGGCCAGGGGAGGACACAGTGAGAAGGAAGCCATTTGTGAGCTAAAGTGAGAGGCCTCGAGAGAAAATAACCATGCCAGGGCTTTGATCTTGGGTCCTAGTTTATAGAGGAGGTTGATGTATACAGAAGCCCCAGGAATGTTTATGCATAATTAATACATGTGGTTATAGTTTATTTTTATAGTTTATATTGATACATGTGGTTATAGTTTATTTTTACTGGCCCATAGTAGTGAACATCTTCTATTACGGCAGTACACCACAACTTATCCCCTTTCTCTCTCTCTTTTTTTTTTTTAGTGAGAGAGGATTTTTTTAAAAAGACTTATTTTTTATTTATACAAACAAGAACTGGGGTACAGAGGTGTGGGGGGCTGAGAGGATTCACCAGAGACAGAGTGGGGAACAGAACAGGCAGACTGACTGAAATACACTGCTGAGGGGAGCAGCGGGCAAGACAGGGGAGGTCTGCTGCACCATGTGGATCACCTCCCTGGCTGGGTATAGAACTCATGCTGCAGTGACTGGTGATAGATTAATAGTGCTGAGACTTAAGCCCTCTGCCACCAGGGAGGCCCTTATCCACTTTCTTATTGATATCGAGGTTGTTCTCAAGTTTTCAGTACTAAAGACACCACAGCACTGACCAACCTGTGTAAGTCCCCTTGCAAGCGCGTGCTATGCCACAGAGGACATGCATCTTCAATTTACTAGTCATCGCTCTCCAAAATAATTGTCAAACTTTTATTTGTTGCCAAATCTGATGGGTTTGAAATGATAATTCATGACTGAGTGCTTTACAAAGAGTAATTTGTATACAATGAGCTGTGCAGTTTGTTCATTGACATACATATGCACATGTACATCAGGTCCACAGTCGATACCAAATATTTTCCTCATCCTCCAAAGTCCTTCACGCCCCCATGCAGTCCATCATTTCCCCGCTCCTCTGGTCTGCTTTTTTTTTTTTTTTTTTTTTAACAATAGATAAGCTTTCATTTTGGAAAATTTTATGTAAACGTGGGATTTTCTTTTTGTTTGACTTGATAGTACAATGATTTTGAAATTCCTCAATGCTGCTTGTTAGCGATAGTCCCTTGCTCCTTGCTGTGTGGGTATTTCTTCTGCTCATCCATTCAGCTGTAGGTGAATCAGGGTTGTTTTCAGCCTGGGCTAAGAAAAGTCCTTTCATGAACACTTCTTTTATTTGTTTGTTTGTTTGTTTGTTTATTTATTTATACAAGCACTGGGTACAGTCAGAAGTGCTGGAGAGTGGGAGAATTCACCAGAGCCAGAGCGGGGAGCAGAGCAGGCAGAAGGACCGAAGTACACTGCTGGGGGGAGCAGCGGGCGGCAGGAGGGGTCTGTGCGCCATGTGGGACCCTCCTCCGGTGGCCGGGGAGCAGCCGGGGATCGAACTGGCGCTGCAGAGGCTGCGGGCAGCTTTGCAAGCCAGCGCTCAACCGCTGTGCCACCGGGGAGGCCCTCATGGACAATTCTAACAGGCCATTTGTTTTCATCTCTCTGGGTGAGTACAAAGATGAGGAATGAGGGGGTGGGAAGGCAGGTGGGTGTTTAACTTTACTCATCATGGTTTTCATTTGCATTTCCCTAAGAGTGTGCTTATTGGTCATTCACATATGTTCTTTTGTGAAGCATCTTGCTTAAATCTTTTGCTCATCTCTTAGTTGGGTAATTGTACTTATCTATGTCATATACTTTCTGTGTATGCTGAATACAGTTTCCTTATCAGATTTGTTTATCAAATTTCTCCCAGTCTGTGACTACTAGGATTTTCATTTTTAAGTGTCTTTTGAAGAGCAAACGTTTTAATTTTGATGAAGACCAATTTATCCATTTTTTTCTTTTATGGTTTGTAATATTTGTTGTCTCAGAAATCTTTGCAAACACAAGGTTACTAGATTTTCTCCTGTTTTCTTCTAGAAGTTTCACCTCATATATAGGTCTATGTATGGGGTGAAGGTTCAGCTTCACTATTTTGTGTTTTTTTTTTTAATTTTTAAAAATTAAATTTTTAAAATTTTTTTACACCATTGTTCATTTTTAAGCAATATTTGCTTCCCCCACCCCCTCAGGTGTAGTCCCCATAGAGTTTCCTTCCCCAATGCACCCGGGGAACCATCACCTCAGTCCCCTGTGCTCCTCCCTCCCTCCCTCTCATCCCTCTCCCTCCTCCTCCCCTGCAGGATGTCTCTGGTTTGTAATTGTCCATTTTTGCTTTGTTGAGTTTTATAGTTATCATTTTTTGATTATGAAGGTATCATTTGTTAAAAAGCCTGTTTTCCATTGAAATTATCTTGGCATCTTTGTGGAAGTTCACGTTACTGACCTTGTGTGGTTTATCTCTGAAGTCTCTGTTCTGTTTCACCTGAACCATTTGCCTACCTTTACACTAACGATCACTCTCTTGATTGCTGTCACTTTATGGTAATAGGTTTAACATCAGGTAATGTTCATGTATACGTTAGAATTAGCTTGTCAGCGAAAGCAAGCAGGACAGGTGAAAAAAAAATAGCTCGTCAATTTTGCAAACATTTTGGATGGGATTTTGGCTGTGATTGCATTGAATGTTTCTATATTGATGTTTGTACTGACTGAAGCAGCAGGAAGCCGCTACAAGCCGAGGACTTGTGAGGTCTCTCCCAGAAAGGTCGAGACAGATTCTCCTTGAAGCTTTCAGAAAGGAGAGGGACGAGCCCAGCTCACGCTCCACTGTCAGCCCCGCAAGACCGAACCCGAGGTAGATGTCTAGACCTAGGAACTCGAAGATTATCAGTTTGTGCTGTTTTCACCGCTAAACTTACGGTCAGTTATGACAGCAGCGACAGCAAACTAACACAGAAAGCGCTGGGTTTTCTGCCACCACGTGTGACGCGAGTGCGTGTGGGGATGCTGCGCACATCTCGTCTCCGTGCTGGCCTTTCGGTTTATTCCTGAAACGTGTTTGAAGACTAACATTTCCTCTGACCACCGTCAGCAATTTTACTTCCTCCTGCTGCTTGCCTCTCGTTCCTGAGCCTTTCTCATTTTCATATTGATGTTGTTCTTTCTTGGCTTTTATCATGTTTTTTTCAGTTCCTTCAGGATTTAAAAAAAATGGTAATTATTGCTTTCATCTGCTTTGCAAATATTCTTGGAACATCCTCAATTTGTCTTACACATAGTTGCCATTTTCCTAGAGCATATTTTAAGATCTGGTCACCTTTAAGTGAGATGGCTTTTCCTATTTATTCTTTTAGAGGATTCCTTGGTGGGAGATGAGGTGGGCCAGGGCTCTAGGGATCCTTCCTGCAGTGACTACGAGGCATTAGTGACAGGCTGCGTGCCTCTGCAGTACTTGTCTCGTTTGGTCATCGAGGTGTCTTACTCTCCTTTCCTTCCTCCCAGGGCCCTTGCCTGGCCACTGCACGCTCTCCACTCACGAGCTTCTGAGCGTAGGCCTGCACCCCCTCACTGGCTACTTCTCAGCACCCCGAGGCCCAGGCTGCCGCAGCACCTTTACCCTCTCTGCAGGCTCCTTTTCTAGCTGCCAAGTGCACGCCGGACAGCCTCCCCACCGCTGCCCCAAATTTTGATTGTGGTTTTTGTTTTCACCAGTTTTTTTCATTGAATCTCACCACTACTGGGGACTCCTCCTTGTGGGGCTGAGTATATGTTGGCAAATCCTGGGCCCCTTGTTTTCCCCTCTGCCTGCTCCTTCAAAGTTGTTCCCATGTGGCCTTGTAGCCATTGGTGGTTTTAGCCCAAACTGCGGATTCTGGAATTCACCTAAGTTTAGTGAAGATGGTGCCACGGTGCTTTCTTCTTTTGCTCTTGGATAGCTCTGTGGGAATTCGGGGGAGATTTAAGGACAAGGTGCCATCCAGCCTCCGAGAATTGATTTTTTCTTTTATAAGGATATATTTTCTTCCTGACATCCTCAGGCCTAGCCAGGAGATACTAGGCTAAGCAACAAATAAGTTAAAACTTTGTAGTGGCTGAACACAGGCACGTGATTCCTGCTCATGTTCTGTGCCATCAGCAGGCTCTTGTGGCAGCTCATAAGCAGCGGCACACTACCCCCTCTCCCCCACTCTGCAAAGTCCTTGTTGATAGCCAAATGGCCAGATGACAGGTCAGGCACAGTCACTGACTATGAGTCCTATTGCCTGGACTGGAAGTCACATTAGCATGTCCCCACGTCTTGCTGGTCAGGACTCAGTCACATGGCCCGAAACTAACAAACAGAGCAGCCTGGAAATGTGGTGTGGCCCTGAGAATCTTTGCCACATTCTGTGTAGCTGGCCAGGAGACCGGAGAGAAGGTTGACTATAAAATATAAGACATTACCTGCCTCTTCATCTATCTGTACATGGATTGAGAAGTAATCTGATCAAAGAACAGGTCAACATCATTTTTCTTTACAAGTTTAATTCCATTATAGTACTTTCAATAGAAAAAAAAATGTAATTCAAATTGTTTTCAAGTCTGCAAAAAACCATGTGTCCGTGGTCTTCCACTGCTAACAAATTTGGGGGACATAAGGCATATAAGGATATAAGGCAGCATATAAATAAAAATGTTTCTAATGATCAAGGTTCTAGTTAAATATCTTTTGGAGTTCTAAAGAATTACACTTTTCCATTAATTAACATATGAAGTAAGAAAATGGTGGTCTGGCATCATTTTATAAACATCGGTATGCCCGCAAACACTGAACATTTAATACTTCAGGAGAAAGCTAGTCTTAAGACAATGATTTTTATTATCTTTATTCTACCATGTTTGATATTATAAATACACCAACTGAAAAACCACAATATTTAAATAAGAATTACGTTCATGAAAATTTACAAAATATAACATACTCTTTTAATCATATCTTAAATATTTCAACTTTACTTTTCTGGCCTGGTCAGACCATTTAAAAATATTTCCACACTATTTTCATTTTAGGATATAAAAGAGTAACAAATTACTAAGGCTTCCATTATAAAAATTAATATAACAATTCTCAAAATACTGAGAAAACTGTTTTATTAAAGCAGTACCAACATTATAGCAACTTATTTTTTTTAGAACAAGCCCATCGTCACAAGGCACATTTGTATTACTAGTGTATGGCTGACGACAGTAGCTTGAGTCTTGAATTTCCAGTCAATTTTCCATGATCTCGACATGAAGATCATATGGGGTGGCGGAGGACGAAAACACAGGTTCCCAGGGGCTTGAAGGGCATCCATGGCCCCTTGTCACATCCATGAGACCAAGAGAAGGACACAAAGAAGGGAGACTACAATTCTGGCGTCCAACCTAATTTAACCTTCAGAAAATACTTTTTACAGAAAAATACTTCATTCTAAAAAACCGCGAGGCAGAAATCTTAATAAAAAGAGGCCGCGACCACATACTGCTGAGTCTGAGTGGTGATGTTTTTTGTTTAGAACCTGGAGAAGACAATGAAGTAGCTGCTTCTTTGGAATCATGTCTTCATATTGGGCTCATCTCAATTTTTTTTTAAAGATTTATGTATGTATACAAGTACTGGGATACAGGCCAGAGGTGTGGGGGGTGAGAGGATTCACTAGAGATAGAGTGGGGAACAGAACAGGTGAATTGACTGAAACACACTGCTGAGGGGAGTAGCGGGTGAGTCAGGAGAGGTCTGCTGTGCCATGTGGGTAGCTCCCTGGCCAGCCAGGGATCGAACGCGTGCTACAGTGGCTGCAGATAGTTTCATAGGTTGTATTTTAACCCCTTGCGCCACCAGGAAGGCCCTGGGCTCATTTCAATTTAAATCACTTGGTGAGTTAAAAGTGCTACAAATTCCCTGGAAGTTAGACGTACTGATATTCAAAATAAATTATAAGTGATTTTATGATTATTATTGTCAAGCTCCCCTTTAATGAGAGCGATATCCTGAAATCAACCTTAATGAAATAATATCAGTAATTTCAAGTAGCCTACAGTACTACTATTATTTTTAAGAGCTTATGTCCCAGGACCTAGGACACACAATCCAGTTTACACTTGGAGGTATGGTTTACACTTTTCACTGAAATTTAGTATGAACTGTAGTACTCAATTGAACAAGATTAATATTCTAAAGTCCTAATAGATTAAATAATTGAGCCCATGAAAGAAACAAAAAGGAATTTTAAATGCTATTTTGGAACTTCAAGAGATTGGGGCTCAACCTTAATTTCACAGTAGTCCCCTCAAGTCTCCACTGAGTTTCTCCATTTTTTAAAAAGGGGATGTCTTTAGATATTTTCCCCCTTACTATAAGAAAAATAATTGACCAAATATTCTGAAGTACAAAAAAGTAAATGGTCTTTGTTACTTAGCAAAGATAGAATTTTTTGGTCCCTGAAGATAGTCACTCTAGGTGCACTTATTCAAGTTCTAAAATAGCAGCTTTTTTAATTAAGGCAACAACGATTTACATTACCTGTTTTTCTATTAATTACTCTTTTAAAAGTTCATAAGGGCAATTTTACCCTTAAAGACCTTTTATGATGTAAGAAGAGATAACATGAACATTCTTTCAATACTTAAAAAATACATTAAAATTATTGAGAGTCAACAGATACCTTATTTTTCTGCTTGGAATTCTAAAGTAATTACAGTCATTTCAAAATGTGTAAACCATGAAATCAACTTTTAAGCAAACATCAACAACATAAAATACAATTTTTTTTTCTACAAAAATACAATATAGAAGATATAGTACTTCTTCCCTGAAAGAGATAATTAATATTTGGACCAAAAAAAAAACCTGTAAACTTTTGTTCACATTTAAAATAGAACCTTTTAAAGACTTAAATTATTTGAGGGTTTCACAATTGGCGCTCTTAACAACAAAGTAACATCCCTGTAATGTCTGAACAACATAAAAATGCCAAACAGTTTGTTTGTTTCTCTTAAAGTCACAATTACTACCAGAAGGAAAAAAATGGCTTCCTGCAATGGAAAGTCTGGGTGAATGAATTGCTGAGGTGGACAATCCGACCCTGGCTTCCGCTTTGACTGCGCTCCACGATCACGCAAGGCATCTGAACTAGCTGGAGAGGACTCTTCCCATCCCTTAATGCCTGAGTAAGATTTAAGATCTGTGGAAAGAAGAGATATTGCCACCAGTTCAAAAAAGAGGAAAAGGCTTCAGTTCGAGGACAGTATTATAACCATTTATTCACAGCTACAGTTTTTATTTTATCCATTTACACCCAAGAGCTTGTGATGAGTAACTGCTACAAGTATATATTATATAGATGCATGTATGTTCACACACTCACACTCACACACACATATGAAATTATAATTAACTAACTTACCAGTAGGTAACTTTAAAATATTTTAGAATACACCCACATTCAGGAGCAGTGGGGTCAGAGACTGAATAAATGAATGGCTCTCCATAATTCATTTGACATATAAAACAAAGCCTGGTCTAAATAATCTGGTTTTAGCTGAATACCTGCCTTGTCTACTCATTCAACAACAAATTTATTGCATGTGTTAGGCTCTACCCTACTTCTCCAGCCATTTCACTTACTGTTGTCAACTCACAGCTCCGGCAAAACACTGCATCCGCACCACCGAGCACAGAGATGTGTGAGCTATCCACCCTCCCTCTTTCACTGACACATGGGCAGCTCCAGGATGAGGGCGAAAGGGGCTTTGCTCACTGCTTTATCTCAGTGACAAGAACAACTGTCTGGTAATGGCTCTTCAATAAATACCTGGTGAATGAGTACTTAACTGAAATCTATTTATTTGTTAAAGCTATATAATAATCAGTGCAAATACTAGATTGCTCTTTGTTACAACTACACAGTAAGTAGCTAGTTTAAAGTAAATGTATAGGGCCTCCCCGGTGGCGCAGCGGTTGAGCGCTGGGTTGCGAAGCTGCCCGCGCTGCGGCGCCAGTTCGATCCCCGGCTGCTCCCTGGCCACCAGAGGAGGGTCCCACATGGCGCGCAGACCTCTCCTGCCGCCCGCTGCTTCCCTCAGCAGTGTACTTCGGTCCTTCTGCCTGCTCTGCTCCCCGCTCTGGCTCTGGTGAATTCTCTCACCCTTCTGCGCTTCTGACTGTACCCAGTGCATGTATAAACAAAACAAACAAACCAGCAAACAAATAAATAAAGCATGCCTCTATAAAAAAAAATAAAATAAAAAAATAAATAAAGTAAATGTATATTTTAAGAAGAAAAAGTTAACTAGTTGGTCACTAAAAGACAATGTTTACAGAATAATTTATTTTCATTTCAAACCCTCCTTTTGAAATATAAACACTGTTAATAGAGGATGGACCAGGGGTCTCCCGCAGGATAGCCCTGCCTGCAGGCCACACCAGCACTGCAAACACCTTGCAGCTCTGATTAAAAGAGGGGAGGAAAGGTAAGAGGACTGATTTACATATGGTTAGCACTTCTTTGCTCCAATCAGTGCTCAACCTGGTTATTTACTAACAGCTGGAGCAAAGGCCAAATAGAGAAAATAATCAACAGGCAACAGAACAAGGAATTGAAACACCAAGCAAGTAGATTTGAGGAGGGAAAATACAGCAACATTCAGAAAAATAGTTAATCAAAATAAGGACAAAACTTCACAGCAGGGGAAAACTGGCCAACTAACCAATATATAACAAGGTCAAAAATATCTAATGTATAAGACAACAGAGGAAAAGATACAATTGAAATCAATCCCGCTTCAAATCATCTGACCTGATTGCGTTCAGCATAAAAGGCTGTATTGAGAGTGACATCTTTGGGTCACAAGGGAGGAAAAAGGCTCACTACTGTTTCAAAGAGATTTTTTTCTTACTGAACAAGAGCACAAAAAGGTAACTTACCTGACCTCTCATCACAGACATCTGACTTTCAAAAGTGGCTTTGTCAAATCCTTTGTCAGTCTATCACAGAAAGGAAAATAACATTATTATAATTCTCCAAATCAAGATCTTTGAAACAGATAGCTAAAAACAAATGATGAACTCTTCAGGTCTGCATATCAGGTTATTAGAAAGCTTTCCCATAAAAACATGGTGACACAGCGGTTGAGCGCTGGGCTGGGAAGCTGCCCGCAGCCTCTGCAGCGCCGGTTCGATCCTCGGCCGCCAGCGAGGGTCCCACATACTCCCCTCAGCAGTGTACTTCATCAGTCTGCCTGTTCTGCTCCCTGCTCTGGCTCTGGTGAATCCTCCCACGCTTCTGACTGTACCCAGAGCTTGTATAAATAAATAAATAAATAGTTTAAAAACAAAAATGTGAAGAGTATTTTTACCTGCTTTATTTTCCTAGGCCTCTAGAATGACCACACTAGTCTACTGATATTATACCTGTCCCAGAAAGAATTTAAAATGACTTTTCAGCCAGTGAGTTCAGGCTTTCTGGGAGAGCATTAAATAACTAAACATTTACTATAATTTACAGAGTAATGTTATAAAACTTGAACTTTTGAAGAAAACAAAGTGGCAAGGTCTAATCAGTTTCACATCATAGCAAGTGTCACTTCACAGATTTATGCTCCCGTTGAGTAAAACTGCAAATTCCATTGTTACCCCCGATTCTGCAGCAAGCGGTAGTACCAGGAGAAGGAAACTGCAAACTAGCTCTATTGATAAAAATCTCTGCTGTTTTAAGATTTATTTCACTTTCTGCAATAATTAAAACCAAAATTTAATTTACCTTAAAAAGTTCATAAAGATCTTCACATAAATCTTGCACAAAGTTCATGTCAGAAATAAGTGGTAGAATCAAGTTTCTTGTTTCTTCAGAAAAAGGAACTTTTGCTTGAGGAAGCCAAGCCCAGTGAAATGGATCTAACAGAAAAACCATTCTTCTTATCAGTCAGGGGAAATGGTTTATTTAGAACCACATTTATCCTAGTTCTTTTCTATAATTCCTATAATTCCTTGGGTCTCAAAAAAAAATTAAAATAAAGACAGGAATAAGAAGTTATCAGAGAACAATCATCCTTTACTATTTAAATTAATGGGATTCCAAGTCTGGATGAGTAATTCAGATGGTAAAGCACAGTAAGGTATTACCTGAACTAGTAAACTTTCTACTGTTAAACAGTAAATAGTAAGAATTTTGATAATGATTCTATCTCAAATAGCACTATATCGAAAAATATCTCCAAATCTCTGATTTCTCAGTTTGAAAATAAAGAGATACCTTCAATTTTTTCACAGTCCAGGGTCAAATGCTGTGGCTGAGATCTCTGCTTCCAGCCACAAACCATCTTGAACTGACTCCGTGTCTCTCTCTCTCTCTCTCTCTCTCTCTCTCTCTCTCTCTCTCTCTCTCTTTCTCTCTCACTCTCTCTCTCTGAGAGAGAAGACTCCAAAATTTTGGTACATGAATGGATGAGCGGCCTTAAGGAATAAAAGATCCACGACTCTGGGCAACTCAAATTCACTTCCAGGTATACCACTAATCTACATAGTGCCAGAACTAGAAAGATTTGTAAAGTAGTGGAATCTTCCAGAGACACATATTCAGAGTCTTGCAAGAAAGTGTAAGGCACAAGACAGTATGGTCACTCTTAGAACTACTGTGGGTACATCCAATGGAACCCCCAGCTTTGAGAGGTCCTACCGCTTAGAATATTCGTGAAGAAGAAATCCGTCATTCCTGATGCCTCTCATCTATCCCTTTCCAGACTGTGTGATGTGCACGTCCATTCCACAGACACCTTTTCCTTCAGCCCACCATCTCCCCGAAGTTAGGTTCAATTTCCTTTCTTCCTTTTCCTGACCAATTACATAGTAAGTAAAGCTCCAGGCCTGCCTCCACCTCTGACCTTTGCCTCTCAGCTGCTGCAATCACCGTGTGAACTCCCTCGGCTGAGCCCTGATCTCACCAGGGCTTCTGCAAGGCCCAGCTCAGTCCTCATGTCACTGACTCACTCTGGAGCAAGCAGCACTGCTTTCTCTCATCTCCCTCTGAGACGCTCTCATTTACTTCACTTGTGAAATACTGACACGTACTTGTGTGCCTTTGAACTGTCCTGGCGCTGGTGTTTATTCCTGGGACAGCAAATGCCGCCACGGCTCCTACTGCCAAGGGGGCCCTTGAACAACTATTTCCTCAAGACCCTCTTTTGGGTTCCAGACTCTGACTCCCTAACAGAGTGTTGGTAAAATGTCAGGATGTATTGCAGGCACCTTCCACTTAGCACTTTAAAAGTACCATCTGCAGATCCTAACCACCAGTGGGGCAGAAACAGAATAAAGTCATCACAAGTCAGTTTACACAAGCTAGGAAAGGAGAAAAATGGAGTTTACAGTAAATAGAAAAAACCTGAGAGACAGGAAATGTTCAAACACATCGACAACAGACAAAATTTAAAAAAAAAAAAATTGAAAGAGCTACAGTGGGATATGTTTCACATGGATAAAAGAACAAGATACAATACTGCCAGCAAGATACAATACTGGACTGGATGCTTGCAAAACATGAAGCCAAAAATGTAGAAATGCAAGAAGCTGACAAAAATCACAGTGAACTTTAACTTCCTTTCAAAAATGAATAGATCAAGAGGTCAAAAAATAAGCCAAGAATATGCTTTGGGGCCTCCCTGGTGGCACAGGGGATTAACAGACAACCTATGAAGCTGTCCACGACTGCTGCAGCATGAGTTTGATCCCTGGCCAGGAAGCTACCCACATGATGCAGCAGACCTCTCCTGACTCGCCCGCTGCTCCCCTCAGCAGCGTATTTCAGTAAATCTGCCTTTTCTGCTCCCCACTCTGTCTCTGGTGAATCCTCTCACCCCCCACTTCTCTGTACCCCAGCTCTTGTATGCATAAATAAATCTTAAAAAAAAATAATACACTTTGATGAACTGATAAGCATTCGCGAGTACACAGACACAGAATGTGGGGCCCAAACACATTCTTCTCAAATACAGTCCTTCAAATTGTTCCTATGAAGATTACACAGGAATTAACATCAAATGTCAAGACACAGAATTCACACCACCACATCACAGATCCATAAAACTGGGAAATAACAACAGCGGACAGTTTTCCAAAACAAAAAGATTCAACTGACCTAGAAATTTTTAAAATTAAACAAAATACTTCTAAATTACCCCTGTCAAAAAGAAAGCCTGCCCCTTTTTAGGAAGATGGCACGAAAATAAAGAAGGAAGCACCCGTGCCTCCCAACGCTGAAGTCACAGCAAAAGCTTTGAAGGCCCAGAAAGCAGTGCTGAAAGGCATGCACAGCCACAAGAAAAAGGCCCACGCATCACCCCCTTCCGCAGGCCCAAGACGCTGTGGCTCCAAAGGCACCCCAAACCTCCTGGGAAGGCCACTTCTGGGGAAACAAACTTGATCCTGTGCCATCATCAAAGTGCCCCTGACCACTGAGTCAGCCGCGGTGGACATCAAGGCCAACAAGCGCCAGGTCAAACAGGCTGTGGAGAGGCTCTGACACTGAGGCCAGGACCAGCACCCAGACGGGGCCTGCTGCAGAAGAGGCATATGTTTGACTGGCTCCTGACTACGATGCTTTGGATCTTGCCCACAAAACTGAGATCATCTAAACTGAATCCAGCTGGCTAATTCTAAATATAATTTTTTTCTCCATTAAAAAAAATCATGTAAGTATGAATATATAAAGCAGAATAAGTAGAATGATATAGCAGCTCCTTTCCAATCTATGGTTTAGCCAAAAAGATACCTAGAGGAAAGTATGTAGGAAAGTCAAACAGGATGAATACAATAGAAGAAACAAATCATAGGCAAAAGTAAATATGAAAGAGAAAAGCAAACTGAAAACCTGATGAAAAACAGCCAGTTACTTGAAAAGGCAAAAAGTTGGAGAAATATAAAAAGCCAATGCTCTACACCAGACAAATCTTTGGGAAGTTTAATGATGATTTAAAAAGGCCACTAATAAGCAGTAGGAATGTGAAAGAGACATAGTCATCAATAAGGGATCATCTTTACAATTTTATTACACACATTTCAAACATAGCAAAATTAAAAAAAACTAGTACAATGAACTCACTCTGAATACACTAAATCAACTGCTTCCAAATTTTTACAAATTTATGTCATCTATCCCTTTTTTCCCTTCCCTTATGTATTTTAAGGCAAATTATTTGAGACATCATTGTATTTTACCCCTAAATGCGTAATACACACAGAGGAATTTTTTTTTTTTTTTTTTTTTTAGTATAAGAGAGTACTATAAAAAATGTCCCATAAATATACACCTCAAGATATCAAAGACAATCTTAAGCAAAATAAAAAGTATCTGAAACTGGCTCAAGAATATATAGAAAATCAGATCATTACCTGTAGAAAAGACTGGGAAAGCAGTTAAAAGCACTAGTTGCTAACAGGTCCAAATTGTTTTACAAGTGATATTAACCATAACATTAAAAAAAACTTCACCAAAATATTATCATAATCCAATTTTGAAAATTGGAAGCTATCAAATTTATTTTACAAGGCTAACACTAACAAAAAAAAAGCAAGAGCAGACATAGTCACCCAAAGTTAAGCAAACAATACAAGACATGATGCGTGACACCCACACATCTTTGCATCTGGGACAGGGCAGTAATGAAGGGTTATACCTGACTCAGTTTTCCCTCTGCTCTTTTGGCAGCCATATATTTGTTCCCTTCTTACTCTGGAAAAGAGATAATTATAGAATCTATAGAAGGTTCTAAATACTCACATGCTCTCCACTCATCAGGATGTTTAAAAGGAAATGCCAGACCATTATCAATTGCAGCTATTTCAATAAGTGGGTCTTTATCAGTTGATTTTTCCTAAAGGGAAGAAAAAAATGATCTGTTGATTAAAAAAATTTACATGAATATTTCCCAAGGAAAAATTTTTACTGTAATTATTGAGTTTTTTTTTTTTTTTTTTTTTTTTATAGAGGCATGTTTTATTTATTTATTTTGTTTGTTTGTTTGTTTTGTTTATACATGCAATGGGTACAGTCAGAAGCGCGGGAGGGTGAGAGAATTCACCAGAGCCAGAGCGGGGAGCAGAGCAGGCAGAAGGACCGAAGTACACTGCTGAGGGGAGCAGCGGGCGGCAGGAGAGGTCTGCGCGCCATGTGGGATCCTCCGCCGGTGGCCGGGGAGCAGCCGGGGATCGAACCGGCGCCGCAGAGGCCGCGGGCAGCTTCGCAACCCAGCGCTCAACCGCTGCGCCACCGGGGAGGCACTGTAATTATTGAGTTTTAAAGACATTTTATCTGAAGAAACTACAATAATTAAAAATTGCCAGAAAGTACCAATTCACCCTTGAAGGGAAGAGACTTAAAAAGTAAAAATCTGTAAGAATTTCTTAATCACTTAAAAAAAGAATTTTGATATTCTAAATGCATATAATATGCTTTCATTTTCTCCTTTGGGGAAGAGGGCTTAGAGTTACTAGGACTTCAAAAAGCATTGTCTGGACACAGAAAGTCCTCACTTAACATCATGGAGATAGGATCCTGAAAACTGCAACTTCAGTTAAACGACTCTAACAAGATTAATTTGCCATTGGCTAATTAGTATAACAAACAAACGATGTTCCTAAGGCATATTTCTGGTCACAAAAATATCACCAAACTTCTACATAAAGACTCAAACACTTGTAATATTAAACAGTAATTCGTATATTTTCACTCATTCATTTTTAAACCTGCTTATTCCAGCTCAGGGTCTCTCGTGGTCAGAGAAGAAACCAGAATCCCTAGAGAAAACCCACAGAGATATGGGGAGAATGTGCAAACCCTACACAGAGAGCGGCCCCCACAGTTATAATGAAATGTTACAGTGAAATAACATTGAACACAATGACATTATTGGGGAACCTGCTAGAGGCACTGCTTAAATGTGTATTTGTAAAACTTGATATTTTTATGATAAAACTTTAACAAAGTTACTTTATTAAAACTCTCTGCCAGGGGCCTCCCTGGTGGCGCAGGCGGTTGAACGCAGCGCTGTGAAGCTGTCCGCAGCCTCTGCAGTGCCAGTTCAATCCCTGTCTGCTGCGGAGATACCCACATGGTGGGGTGACCTCTCCTGTCTCGCCTGCTGCTCCCCTCATCAGTGTATTTTGGTCTGTCTGCCTGTTCTGTTCCCCACTCTGTCTTGGGTGAATCCTCTCACCCTCCCGTGCATCTGGCCTGTATCCAGGTTCTTGTATAAAAATAAATAAATCTTAAAAAAAAAAAAACCACACAAAACTCTCTGCCAGGGGCCCATAGAAACAATTGGTTCAAATATTTCGAAATAAAACTTCCCAGAGCTCACACTTAAATACTATATAGTCTAGCAGAAGGAATTTCAAGATACTCCTGATTATACAATGTGGGCCATTCCTAACTTCTACACTCTTCTGGAGCAGAAACTTCTACAGTCTTAGGGCAGGTGGGTTTTCATAGTAAAGAGCTCCTGGCTGTTACTTAAAGATAAAGGTTGCTATTAATAAGTGACCCAGATAAAATAACAAAAGCTGAAAAACATATTTTTTAAATTAAAAGTATCAGTGTGAAGGGCCATGTGCTAAATGGCAGGTTTGTTTCTTTTAGGTTCAACTATCTTACCTCAATGGAAATGCATGAAAAACTAAATGTAGTTTTCAGTAAAATCTCATGGCTTAGTATATAATAGCAATGTATATCGAGGAACCATTATAAATATTTATACTTATGTGTGTATTTTAAACTCATTTTGACAATAGCTGTCATTTCATTTTATTTCAATCTATTGCAGTTTACCACAGTGTAATTTACACATGGAAAGCCTCTCCTACTAAAGCACACAGTCTGGTAAGCAGCGACAGAAGGGAAACTTTCGCCCAAGTTTCCTGTCTCCCTTTGCAGTCCATCCCTCCATTACTCCAACCCGGGCAACCAGAGTGTGAGTCTATCACTAGGGGTCAGCTTGCACTTTCTATAGTTCATAAAAATGAAATCTGACAGCGTGTTCTCTTTGTGTATAGCTGCTTTCACTCAGCCAGATTTTGAGATTCTTCCACGTTATTGCATGTATCAAATTTATTCTTTTTTATTGTCAATCCTATGAATAGTAGTTTTAAATTTCTTTGATCAACACTAAAAGTACCATTGATTTTCAAGTGATGCTCTAGATGACAACACAAAGCTTATAAGTACTGAAGCACACAACTTTTCAGTTAAAACTTTCTCATATGGACAGACTGTTTTATTTTTTATTTTTAAAGTTTTATTTATTTATGCATACAAGAACTGGGGTACAGGCCAGAGGTGCAGGGGGGTGAGAGGATTCACCAGAGACAGAGCAGCGGGGGAGTCAGGAGAGGTCTGCTGCGCCAAGTGGGTTGCTCCCTGGCCGCCGGGTATCGAACTCGGGCTGCAGTGGCCGTGGATAGCTTCATAGGTTGCATCTTAACCACTTGCGCCACCAGGGAGGCCCTGGATAGACTGTTTTAAACTAGTAAACTATTCTTAAATATTTCTTATGTATCTACCTAACACCTGAACTTAAGAAGTCAAAGTTGATAGAAATAAATCTAAAATCTGCCATCCTAATACTGTTAAGGTCTATGCAGTCTCTTACATATGTTAAAACCAGCTTCTTACTAGTTGCAGAGGTAATTTTTTTCCCCTAAAGTTCACTGAGTATGATTTGCAGGTAAAACACATGTTCTACTTTATTATGTAATGTTCTGTTATTTAAAACTGACTCATAAGACTCAGAAAGAAGTGAGCAAATATAACATGTTGACCAAAATACCACAAGTATTAATTACATAGAGTATAATAAATCTGGTGGTTCTGCAACAAATTTCCCAGGCCCTAAAAAAGCACTGAGCTGGTAGCATTTTTTTTATCCTAATATGACATCAAAAATAAAGCTGTAGGGATTTTTAAAGAGTAGAAGTAAAAAAAAATGTAATGTAAACTGGAAAAGAAAAGAAAAACAGAAAAAGGAGGCAAAAACTAAGGAACTAGGGGAAGGAAATGAAGAAATGACAACGAATAACTTCAAGGAATCTTTTACAGAAATTGGTAGTGCGTGTATGTGTGTGTATGTATATATTATTTTAAAATTTCCTTACCTTATGGTTCTTTTCATGTTTCTGCTTTTCATATTTGATTAACCAATTATCATTTCCCCTGTCTTTCAAACCAAAACAAAACAAAGCTGTTATTTCATTTTTTTTTTTTTTTTTTAATTTTCTAGAGGCATGTCTTATTTATTTATTTATTTATTGTTTGTTTGTTTGATACATGCACTGGGTACAGTCAGAAGCGTGGGAGGGTGAGAGAATTCACCAGAGCCAGAGCGGGGAGCAGAGCAGGCAGAAGGACCGAAGTACACTGCTGAGGGGAGCAGCGGGCGGCAGGAGAGGTCTGCGCGCCATGTGGGACCCTCCTCTGGTGGCCGGGGAGCAGCCGGGGATCGAACCGGCTGCAGAGGCTGCAGGCAGCTTCGCAACCCAGCGCTCAACCGCTGCGCCACCGGGGAGGCCCCCTGTTATTTCATTTTTTATGCTACCATAACTTAATGTCAGGGGGGAAAATCTAGCTACCTCTTGATATTTGAGAACTTCATGGGATATATGTGGCAAATGTTTACATAGCAGAGACTCCAGTATAACATATACAAAACTAAAAAATACTTACAAATGTTAGGTCGTACTGGGTATTTACTCTGTGCCACACACTGTTGTAAGTGCTTAATGTGTATTAATTCATTTAATCCTAATAACTCTGTGAGGGGTATTCTTATAGTCAAGCACAATTAAAGGTTATGATAATCAAGGATAACTCCCCTTCACCTTAGGTTACCTGGCAAATTTCTGGGTAGGCTCTCACCTATCCAGAGAAGTACCTAGATTCCACATACATCTTAACATTAACCTAATGTCAGGTTAATGAAATAAATCTAGAAAAGTGTATCAGAAGTGAATACCAATGAGAAAACATTTTGAGCTAGTGGTTTTCAAACTTCAAAGTGCCTCAGAACTACCTGGAAGACTTACTAAAACCTGCCCAGGTGTAGAGTTTCTGCTTCAGTAGGGTTGAGGTGTGCTCCAGAAGAAGCACCTGTAACTCAACCCTACCCTAATAGTGATGCTGACAGTTCAGGAACACATTTGGACACACCATTTTGGATGATCTACAGCATTGCTCCCTTCCAATACAGAAAAAATTTGGAGACTAATGTATTCTATACACTCTATAACAGTTATTTAATGTTAAAGTAAGCATCTAAAATAAGACACACTATCAGCTCTAACAACTCATGTTATGCAGATAGCATGTCTAATAGTTGGCTTTGTCCTACAGCTAAGAGTCAGAGTCGACAAGAAGAGACCTCATGACCTCTGGCTCAAAATGTTAGGTCTTTGTTTGGATAACAGGAGTTGAATACAGTGTGAAAGCTAACAAGACTTGAGTGAAGAAATGACAGCACTTAATACCTGTATTTCTGATGATGTAATCCAAAACAACCAATCTTTCAAACTGTGACTGAAATTGTTTTCTAATATTCTCAGGCAAAGGGTCAGCTTCAAATTTCCTAAGCCAGTATTCAGCCTCCTTGTAACCTTCAACGAATAACTGAAAGGAACCAATCTACAATTTTAAGACCCACAGTTAGAAAAAAGGGATTAATTTCTCAGCAAAATCATCATAAAATGTCAACAAAAAAAGAGTAAGAACAAAAAAAGAATAAGAAAAAAAGCAGTTAAAACTAATTTAGATAAGTCACATTTATCAAGAAAACAATTTATATACTAATTTAAAGTAATTACAATAAAGAATACAGAGCAAATAAAAAATGTTCAATTCTAGGCCTTCAAAGAGTATAGAAGCTATTTTAGGATAATTAAAAAAGAAATATACATGTGCTCCCAAGGTGATATTCTCAACAAGAATGCTATTTTCTAAAAATATTCATTTAAAAGAATTTAATTACGAAGGCCAAATTTTACACCTCTCCTGGTTATTTTATAACAATTCAGTTTTACCTTACTGAAGAAATACTTGGAGATTTATTTTTACAACAGAAAATAATTTTGTTAAAAAAAGACCCACATTTTGTCCATGTAGATGAGAGATACTGTCATGAATTTTAAACTAATTTTAATCAATTAGTTCTCTCTTCTATAGTAATATTTTAAAAGTCCTTCCCTTGAAGATAAGCCCATTGAAAAAGGTTTTTCCATCACTCATATGACCATTTGTTAACATTAAACAATTTATAAAAGACAGAAATACAAAACTGAGCAGTTCATGACACAGTTAACAGCTAACCTACTCGCCCTGATAAGCAATCACCACAAATGAATCTATTTCTTATCCTAATACTTTACGTTGCTGTTGCCCTGAAATTTTAACGACCCCCTAAAGGTTTTCCCTAGAGCACTTATAATTAAGACTGAACAGTCAGTCAGATTATGTAGATAGTATCCTTCTTATAGTCACACTCCTATCGGCATACACAAAAAGCATAGGCCTTGTAAAACTTTCCAAGCTTTCTACTTACTTGGACTACAATTAAAAAAAAAGAAAAAGTAAACTATGAATTTCTACTCAAATTCCTTTATCAAGAAACATGCATTATAGCAACAAAACAACAAAGCCACAGGGGTCAAAAAAGAAAAAGAAAAACCTCAAGCTTTTTCTAGGAGGCCCTCCCATTAACCCTTCCCACCCTCGTTTAGCTCTAAGCATGCCTTGAATTTATTTGAAAGTGTCAAGAAAAAACAAAATCTAAAATGTAGTGCGTGAACAGCAAACCTTTACTGAGCCTTTACCGTGTGACAGTTCCTGTGTCAGGTAAAGTCAACAGCTTCGTTTCATCTTCACAATAACCCTAACAGGGAGTTTCTGCCTTCCCCATCTCATACAAAACTGAGGCTTGGCGAGTAGGGAACTGGCCCAAAGTGGCAGAGGGAAAGTGGTGGAGAGGAACATGCTGTTTTCTTCACTGTTACACCCGGGGCCCCCAGCACAACACTTGATCATTGCTCAAATAAGGCCGATCAGAGCAACTTACCTTAGGAGGGAGTCCTATCCGGTGAAATTTTCTACCTACTTTTGGCACTTTCTGTAAAGCATATTTTTTGCCTCTTGATTTTGCACGGTCAATTGCACTGTAGTTAAATGTCTCACTGACCAGCCAAACCACCTAGGAATAGTTTAGAAAAATGGTTATTACAATGTGGGTTATGCTCGTCCTCTTCACAAACACCGCAAAACTCTAATGTTATAAATTAGCCAAGTTTGACCCGACACTACATTACACCCCAGGGAATCTAAAGTGGAAAGGCTGAGGGATGTTGCCTAGCCAAAGAAATGCCACCTGTTCCTTTCTGAGAGAGGCAGCCTAAAATTTGCCAGTGGGAGAAAAACATGATAGCCCTGAAGTGCAGAATTGGGAAAGACTATCTTGAGGACATCATCAAGTAAAAATTTATAAAAGCCAAAAAGAAAACAATAGCAGCCTTTGAGCATGGAGTTACCTCTACTCAGCAGTTGTAGATCCCTGAAGTACTTTTTTTTTTTTTTAAAGATTTATTTATTTATGCATACAAGAGCTGGGGTATAGGCCAGAGGTGTGGAGGGTGAGAGGATTCACCAGAGACAGCAGGGAACAGAACAGGCAGACTGACTGAAATACAGTGCTGAGGGGAGCAGTGGGTAAGTCAGGAGAGGTCTGCTGCACCATGTGGGTAGCTCCCTGGCCGGCCAGGGATCAAACTCGTGCTGCAGAGGCTGAGGATAGCTTCACAGTGCTGTGCTTAACCCTTTGCGCCACCAGGGAGGCTTCCTGATGTACTTTCTAAAGGAGAGTTTCTACTCCCTTGGCTACCTGGGGGATCTAAACTGGACCACTCATGACTCTGGATTACCAGAAAAAGGGGCTCAAACTTAAGCTGTCATTAGAAATGTTCCTAAGGTGCTCAGAGAGAAGGCAGCGGCAAGTGAGAAGCACATAACTGAAAACAGTCTCTCCTTTACCCTTGTTTTTGGTACAACGCCCAGCTGAAGCTTTTCATCCACGAGGAAGGCACCGGCTTCAGAGAGGTACCCCTGGTTGGGAAGCAGGCAGCCTCTGCCGAAGCAGCAAGGGCAGCAGACCTTATGGACATATTTAGTCCATTTAGGATTCAGTTGACCATAAGGCTCTTCTGATTTGGGTTTAAACACACCAATACTAGTCTATATTAAAAAAACAAACAGATTTTATTAGACTTTTAATATAGAGTAGTAATAATTCATAAATTGCATCCTGATAAATCTTTCTCTACTTCTTCTCACTGCAGATTGGGACAAAACCCTTAAATATTAAGAGGTTGTGTTGCAATCACATTTTTACATTCATTTGCACTCAAATATCTAAGACCAATAATTCTTTGAGCTAGCAGTTTTCACATGGTGCATTGAGAAACCCTGGGCAAGGCGAGAGGGGAGGTGAGCACAGGCTTCAAGAACCCTGCCAGGGAACCAGATTCACTCTGATGCCCCCTATTTTGGATTATGGGGCTTCCACTGATCTGAAAATTTTTGAAAACCACTGTTCTAGGACAGTGTTATTTTCATTATCTATTAAACATAAAAATCATATGTTTGTTTATCATCTACTTTCCCCACTAGATGTACCTTCTAAAAGCACAGGACTTAGTTAGGGTTGTAACTCAAGTACTCAGAGCTGCAGCTGCTACACAGCGGCATTTGCAAAAGGAGCTATTAAGTCCAGGAACAAAAAGCCAAGTCTTTAAATACAAAGGGTAAGGACACAGTGAGCATCTATGTCTTACATTCTCCTACCCTAATCTTTTTCCACTTACTGTTTTACAAATCAACTTTAAATAAATGCTCTCCTCTTAAAGAAAAAGTTGGATGTCTAGACATCTATAATCTTTTATTACTAGCCTGATAAAATATACTCATATTAAATTTAGAGGCTGAATTATCCCTACACAAGAAATAAAAGTCTTATAATTTTTAAGTATATAGTTACCTGACAATGCAATAGTTTCAGTCACCAGTAAAAAGTTAACAAGAACAAATTAAGAAATCAATCTCATAAGAGAGTGAGAGTTTGAAATTACCTACATATGCATTTAAATCTCAAAAAAGACTATGTTTCAAAAAAGAACTTCAGTTTTTGCAAAAAATTTGGATGAAATTATAATCTTTCTTCCTCTTAAAAAAGAACTGCTGGCTATATATCCTCCAGAAAGCTTTCAGAAATACTAATAAAAATTCCTGAAAAATTCTAGACTAATCAGAATGAAGCCTCACATGGCTTCTCTTTTCTGTTCAAGAATTATACTTTGGTTCACTCTGTTACATTTCAGTGCCTTCAGCATCAGACAGCCCGGGCTCCTTCTCTGGTATAATGCTGGAAAAAAAATATTACTGGGGCAAAATGACATTAAACATGTATTGAAAGTTTAAAAGTCTACTCTGCTTGGCTCATATGGTTTTAGACGTCTGTAAGGTAAGGACTTATGAATATAAAGTCAACAAAACTATGGCTGAATGTAAGTACCCAATAAAAGCTGACAACCAAATATTAAAATAATAGAAAATGCTAACTTAAAATGAATAGCTCTACTAAATAGTACAGTGCTTTAGTTTAAAAAAAAATAAAAAATAAAAAAACAAAGAACACACCAGCCTTTATTTCTGAAAACAGGGCACAATCAGATAAGGAAAATATTTCCAGAAACTCACAATGACTTCACATTTAAATTAGTGTTTTCCAAATCTTCTGTTATATATAGATCTGAAATTCTCACCCTCTTGGGATCCTTCACAAAGTAACTTCCACTTGAACCTTGAGATATTCTTTCTGGCAAAACTCCAAATTCTATAGCTTGCTCTGCTTTCAATATAAGATCAGCAAATTCTGGATCATCCGGGAATGTATTCAACTCTGCAGAACCAGTAACTATTGCAATTAGAAAATCAATGTTAATATAGAACATGAAGAAGAAAGACCAGTTATGAGAATGCTTATGGTATGGACATGTAATTTTGGAATTGTATTGTATAGGTTCTTTGATTCTCCCCCACCCCTTCTCTTTAGCTTCAAGCAATGACACATGGAAACAAGATCCCCCCCATTTGTCAAAGTAACCACACTAATGCCTTATATTACTTCAAACTCTCGTCTAGTGATTTTGTCCTTCATTCTACCTCAGTCTCCAACTGCAGTCATACCTCAGATCTGTCACTACCTGTGCAATCTCTTCACATTTTCAACTTCAAGCACTGCCAATTTCTGAAGCTCACACCCTCCAGTATCCTGAGCTCTAAGATTCCTCCATCCCACTAAGCCATCTTGGCCCTTGTCTTCACCCTTTAGTGTCCTGACTTCCCTCCCTGGTCCGTCATCATAGAGCATTCTCTTCTCCCTTCCCCTCATCATGATCGCCTGGAAAACCCCAATTCTGATAAAACCCAACTGTCTGCTACTATGCATGTGCAGTCTCTCTGGTAAGCACGGCATGTTTGTGTCCCCCCAAAACAGGTTGAAGCCCTCACCTCCAGTGTGATTATATTGGGAGATGGGAGTTTGTGGGAGATAATGAGGCTTAGGTGAGGCCTTGCAGGATTAATTTTAGAACTTGCTCATTCTCTCGCCTCCCTGTGGGGACGCAGTGAAAAGGCCACCACCTGAGAGCCAGGAAAAGCCCTCACCAAGACACTGACCATGCTGGTCCTCGGATCTTGGACTTCCCAGTTCTTCCAGAACTGTAAGTAATCAGTCTGTTGTGTAAGCCACCCAGTCTGTGACATTTTGTGACAACAGCCTGAGCTAAGACAACTCCCCCATTACACTGGACAACTATTTCATACCCTCGATCTCCTCAAACCCTAACACCTCCTCTCTCTCAGCGATGACCTAGCTTCCAATTTCACTGAAAAGCAATCAGAGAAAACTGTTAGCCATTAGCACCACATCCCCTGCCTTTTACCTGTTACTACAAATCAACTGTCCAAGCCCAACCCCTTTCCGGATACTCCAGGACGCTGCTTCAGCAATTCTTCCCTGCATCAATATTTCCCTCTCTATGGATCAATTCCATCGCCAAACAAAGCATGCTATACTTTTGTTCATCTTAAAACAAATCTCTCTTAACCCCCAATATGCACTAGACACATCCTCATTTCCTTGCCCCACTTTATAGCAAAAGGCTTCTACAGTTATTTCTATTTACATGTCCAGTTTTTCTTCTTCAAGTTTCTCCAGAATTCATTTCCATCAGGCTTTTTTCTCAAACACTCCATTGCAATAATTTCTGTCAAGGAACAAAGTGACTCCCACATTGCTAAATTCAACCTCAGAACTCATCTTCTGTGACCAACACACCATGTGACTCTGTGGGTCGCTCCCTCTTCCTTGAAACACTTTTTCACTTGGCTACTGGGATGCTGCTCCTCCTATTTCACTGCTCCTCTATTTCAGTGTCCTTGATGGCTCACTTTCATCTATCTGACCCCCCAGGTCCAGTTCTTGGTCCTCTTCTCTTCATCGGCACTGATGATCCTAAAGCCTTTTCTGCCCTGAGCCCCTTACTACTGTATTCAACATCTCGATGTGGTTGTTTCATCGACAGTTCAAACTTTACTTTCCCAAAGCCAACTCTTTGCCCTTACCAGCCCTCTCATGTTTCAGTCCCAGTAGCCCCAAATTCAGTTGCTGGAAACCCCAAATATTCCAGTTGCTCACACCAAAAACCTTGAAATCACCCATGACCCCACACTCTCCCCCCGCATCTAATCCATCAGCAAGTTTCACGGCTCCACCTTAAATAGCCAGAAGCCAGCCATTCCTTACCAGCTCCATGCCTTCCGTGTGCTTCAAATCACCATCAACTCTTGCCTAGATTATTACAAAGTCTCCTAGCTGGTCTCACTCTTTCACCCATGTCCTTCTTATCCTCACCAGAGAAGCTATAGTAATCCTTTAAAAACAAGTCAGATCATGTCACTCCTTGTACAAAATAGCCCCAGAAGTTTCCTCCATCTCATTAAAAAAAAACCCAAAAAAAAAAAAAAAAAAACCACCACCACCAAAAACCAAGAAGCAGATTCAAACCCTACAAGTCCTATTAAGGTTTCCAAGGCCCTACTCAACCTCCCCTAACCATCACTTCATTTTTCTGTTTAGTACTTATCACCTATTATATAATTTATTTATTTTGTGAGCTCTAAGACAGGATTTCTTCCAGTGCTCTAGTCTCAGAACTTCACAGTTCCTGGCATATAACAGATACTCAATAAACACTTGCAGAAAAAGCTAATTATTAATCATGTAAAATGCCAGACAAGCCCAAATTATTCACATGTTTTACTGGAAGACATTTTAAGGCTATTATGTGCATTCAAACTCAGAAAATTCAGAACACAGACTTTCCTTAATTTAAAATTTGCCTAATTCAGATAGAAATAAAACTGTTGTTACTAATTTTTACATGTCTGTGCTGAGAAAGATATTATAGAAAAGGGAGATTGGGCATATTTAACCTACTTTAAAGAATAAACAATTCAAGTATTTTAGTCATGTCTACAAGTGATACAGTGATTTCAAATCAATCTTATATATGCCCTGAGAGTCCTTAAGAACAAAAGGAGGAACTCTGTCTTTCTTCTTGAGTGTATCCCTACCACCTGGAAGAGGATTCAGCATTTAGTGGATATATTTAAATATTTTATTTAATATTTATTAAATACTTAATAATTTTACGAAATATTCAAATATTTAATAATTGAATTAATGAAGTATTATTTATGTCCCAGAATGTGCCAGTAATCATTATCAAACGTGATTTCTTGTAGATCAGGGTTCTTTGTAAGAAAGAAGGTGCAGTTAGTCGCATCTCTCCTGCCCTGTGCAGGTCTCTCTTCGCCAACCTTCTCCCTTTGCAAATCAGCAGGGGCAGCTCTCCCCCCAAGACTGCCTACCTGTGTCTATGCAGGCATCTCTAACAAACCTGCCTGTCAGGGGCAGCTCTTTCTGCCCGCTTGTATCTATGCAAGTGTCTTTTATTCTTCTCCTCTCCCTTTTTATAACAAACCTGCCCTTTTGGATATTAAAAAAAAAAGAACGTGAAGTTATTTATTTCAATGTGCTGTCAGTAATGGTGCACTTTCTGTACGAACCGCTGGGGGTCTTTGGGTCAGTGTCTACACATTTAAAGAGAAATCCTGCCTTTTCTTCATTAGCCTCTTTTGTTTGTTTGAGAATATATATACTTCTCTCTTCTCCAGAAATAAAACCTCTTCCAGTTTCACTCAATGTCCTAGACCTGCCATCAGGAGCAAAAGTCTACTTACTCCTTTCTTCCCAGAGGTGGCCCTTCAAAAGAGCTGACAATCATATCATATTTCCCGATCTCCTTTATTCTCCACCTCTGTCCAGACGGAGGTGTTTTCCACACCCTCCCCTTTCATGCCTCAGTTTTTCAATGTGCCTATTTAAAACATGGCCTTTAGGCTGAGCACCCATTGCAGAGAATAAAGACCCCTGACAATCTTGTTACTCATCAAGAGATGCTTTTGCAGGATGTCGGTTGCTCAGTAGGAGTCCTGTCATATAGCTAATTGACACTGAAATGGCTAGTCTCTTAGGCAACTCTTGGTTGCTCCCACTCTGTACTTGAGCATTTCTTTTGGAGTGCAGGCTTTGACATTATTATTTTAAATGTTACCAAATTGCTCTGTGGGCCAAGTTTTATGAGTTCATGGCAGATCCTGCCTATATGGCTCTCATGGAGCCCATGATCACACTCTGGACACAATTCCATGTCAATCAAAATCAGATCAATCAGAACCTTTCCTATAAAATCAGTATATTCTGTCCTTAATTTTTTTTTCTTATTGAGCAACTCGTTTGGATAAATTAGATCATTTTCCCACATGAAAAGTGGACATTCTTTGAAAATATTCTGGATTTACCATAACAATCCTAAAGGTACTTAAAAGACAACTTTATCTAATTACCACTAGGAAAAAACAAAAAAGGCCACATCGGCAACTATTCTAAAATCAAAGTAATTGTTCTTTAGTTGATAACTTTTTAACAGACTCGTAACTCACAATTACATTCTGCAACTTTCTTCCCCAAAGTTAAGGAAAAAACTCCCCAAAGTTATCACAGTTTGAAGACTATTAGGGTTGGAAGGTTTCACATCATTATTTCCTTGGACTTTTAATAGCTGAAGGGCATGGTTAGCTACATTTTCTTTTATTTTCCAGTTAAAATTACTGCTACCCCAAATTAAAACCTAGTATATTTTAATTTGCTTTTATATCAAAGGTTTTAATTTGCGTCTATATCAAAGAATATTCAAATTTTCTGAGAACCTCTAGTCTACCTCTGTGTACTCCAGTTCCAGTCCTATTCAAGCACCTTACTTTTCACAGGACATCCAGCCTACCCTCTGAACCTTTGCCCATGCTATCCCATGTACATGCCAAGGTTTCTTCCTGTGCTAATTCTTATTCATCCTCCAACTCCATCTGATCATCTGTAATGCTACAGCAAAATGATCTCAACCCCAGAAGGGCTGAGAGATCTTTGTTTTGTTTTCTGTTATATCCCAAGCGGCACATGGCAGCCCCGAAGAGCTTGAGAATTATTAATAAACTATCCCTCTGACCACACTTGTGGGTTATTACTGGTCCTTCGGTAAGTAGAAATTGAGATGAATTAATTGCATAAACTTTTATATTTAGTTGTGTGTAAGTACGCTTGAGAACTTGCCAAGTTTTTATTTCAAATAAATGCATCAAAATGAACTCTTCCTCACAGGAAGGATGAGACTAAATCTCACCCACTGACCAGAATGCTCTCTAAAGAGAAGAGTAGGCTGGCTCACAAATTTGCTGATCAGAACCCTGCTCCAGGGTCTCCTGACCTTGAAATCCAAGGTGTGCCTCAATGGAACCCTCAGCTTTCTGTGTGCAGGTAACGTCCATCATCCATTGAAAGTATGCCTCTAAGCATGCTCATATAAAGTGTAAGCTTAGAAAGACACACATCCTTTGAAACTTAGGAGTTTTTATGAATTTTAACATTGTTCTCTAATTGTTAGGCTCTCCAACAAAACTGATAAAAAGTGCTCCTGGTTTGTATCAATTAACTAGGGACCTTGAAGTCACTTCACCTCTCTGTGCTTCCTTAACATGAAAAAAAAGAGTATGCTTAAAATTAAAAAATCGGGCCTCCCTGGTGGCTCAGTGGTTGAGCACTGGGCTGCAAAGCTGCCCGCAGCCTCTGCAGCGCCGGTTCAATCCCCGGCCACTGGCGAGGGTCCCACATGGCGCGCAGACCTCTCCTGCCACCGTCAGTCTGTCTATTCTGTTCCCCGCTCTGTCTCTGGTGAATCCTCTCATCCCCCCAACCTCCCCGCACATCTGACTGTACCCAGTGCTTGTATAAATAAATAAATAAATCTAAAAATAAAAATTAAAAAAAAGTTATTAAAAAAATAAAGTTGCCTCCCCTTTAAAAAAAATTAAAAAATCACTTCATAGGGAAGGTTATGAATCAATATGTGTGAAGCACATAGATGTCCTGCACATACTGCCATGTATTAGCTATCATCATCTTTATTACTCTCTCAGTCACTGATTAAAATGACAACCAGAACAAAGAATGCTACTAACGCTACTTTGACACTGATCTAATGCTACTTTGAACACTGCGGTTTATGCTGATTCTAGACTTTATCAAATGCCTTATTAAAGATAACACGCACGTGACATTTTCCCACTGGCTAAAGTACATAAACTTCCAGTTTACATAAACAAAATAGTAAGGTAGCATAAGTGATGCTAATATTAACCTAAGCTTCTTAGAACTAGAGGTGGCTTCATGGAAACTGAATGGCAAAGAATGAAGTTAATGGATTCATTAAAAAAAAAAACAACCCAAGAAATAACTGAACCTAAAATCTAGTTAAAATACTCAATCATAAACTTCTTAGGAGACTGGTTTGAAATTTTTAAAATAGTTTTTGCAATTCAAAGCTATTTTAATATCCATTAAAAATAAATCTTTCTAATAAGTAACCAAAAGTCACAATTACTTTATAATACTTGGGAATCTCCAGCAAAATGGAAAAAGTGCTAGACACAAAGGACCAACCAGGCAGTTCTGGGGTTATCACTTCCTGTGCGACTGACTTTGGCTTACTTCTAGAATTCTGTGAACCACAGTTATTACAATTTTACTCATCATCAATCCTCCTAACAAGAATGACTGTGAATAACAACTAACTTGATGTGCTATGGTGAGAATTAATGAAATACACTGCAAAAGAGCTTAGCAAATTGTGACACACTAAGTTACTACCATAAAGGAGGAATTTCTTTTCAATAATGCATTTTTATTTCAAATGCTATTCTCTATCTTTTTAGCCTTCTCTAGCCTTCATATTGTTTGTTCACAAAACCTCACTTTCATTGAACAAAACAACTTTCAAGGTTTTCCGTTACTGCAAAATCTAGCTACTCCAGGTAACTTGGGATAGAGCAAGGAAAGCTAGTCCAGAGATCTTAAGCTATTTCACAAAAGTCTAAGCAGTACACAACCAACTCATTGAGACGGCTGGGTGAAAAGTGGGTCCCTTCGTGACCTGTTCTCCATTTCAAGTTCTGTGAACTGTTGTACTACCAATGCAACCTTAGCTAACAAAATCATGGCCGCCAACTTGCTTTCAGGAGGGTTTGCTACAGCTTCATTTGTCCAACGCTTGGATTGGAATGTCCACTTCCCTTGGGCCTCCCCGGTTTATTTCCTCTACAATAAGTTTGACTGTAAGTTCGACTTCAACTTGAACAGCCTGTTCTACCCACAATGCTTCTCAATATAGAAAGTTATTTGTACACTTGTGGCAGGACAAGTATCTAACAACTCCACAAAGACCAAACAGCACTGGTGAAATGGACACTTCTGTAGTTTTCTTTCAGCCTGCACATATGGAGTGACTGGGCACAGCACACACCTTATCACGCCGAAAACATCTTAACCACCAGCAAGCAGGTGCTGTCACCATTTTACAAGCCCGCTTGTCATTTGTCTATGTCACTATCAAATCAGCCTGCCTCAACTGTGTGTGCCCCAAACTCACTCCATCAACAACACACAGCCAGGCCTGAAAAAGCATGCAGAAATGTTCCAGCCTTCCAACCACTTCCCTGTGGCCTGTGGCCAGCAGGCCCCTTAACAGCGAAAAGGTGTTTGTTCCTTTTTTTTTTTTTTTTAGTGCTGTCACCATTTTACAAGCCCGCTTGTCATTTGTCTATGTCACTATCAAATCAGCCTGCCTCAACTGTGTGTGCCCCAAACTCACTCCATCAACAACACACAGCCAGGCCTGAAAAAGCATGCAGAAATGTTCCAGCCTTCCAACCACTTCCCTGTGGCCTGTGGCCAGCAGGCCCCTTAACAGCGAAAAAGGTGTTTGTTCCTTTTTTTTTTTTTTTTTAAGACATACGAATAGAAATGACTCATAGAAATGAAAGCAAACTTTGCAAGAGAGAGAGTGGACAGAGAAATTTAACCGCGTCTGCTGCCTCTGGCTAACGTCACAATAACAACCCTTAGCAGAAAAAGTCTTTGAAAGTGTCTTTGCAACCAGAGCTGACCCTCCCCGCTGTCGTCCCCTCTGCAAATTCCCACCTCAGGGAACTCTCCAGCTAGCTCGGCCTTCTGGGTTCAAAACTCAAGTCCAACCTCGGCCAACAACTCACTTCATCCCACGGTGTCGAGCTTTCCTTAATGCCCGATTCCAAAAAACTGAAACTCCCTTAGGGGCTACCTCAAGGCTCAGAGTTTAGGGACAGGTAAAGGTCTCAGGTGCGGTGGCCGCCAGCCCGCGGGGGTGCGCGCGGACAGGGGGGCAGGCGCGCAAGCCAAGGGGACCCCAAGCCGGGCCGGCAGCCGGCCCGCGGCCACGGATCCGGACGGGGTGCCGGCGAGCCGCCCTACAGGGAACCCCGGCCCGCGCTCGGGGCGCGCCGCGCGAGGGGAAGCCGGGCGCACCTGCACCTGCGCCCGCGGGGCGGCCCCGCCCGGGCGCGCCGCGCTGGAACCCGACGCCCGCGAGGGGGGCGCGGAGGGCGCGCGCGCCGCGGGGCGGCAGTTCCTGGTCGCCGGCCTCGGGCGGGGCGGCCGCGCCCTGCTCCCCGGCCGCCCCCGCCAGCCTCACGGCGCTGCCCGGGGCGCCCTTCCGCGCCGGGGCCCGGGCGGGCCGCGGCAGCAGCGGCGCCCGCTCCTCGCGCTCCTCCGGCTCCTCCTCGTCGTCCTCCGGCTCCGGCCGCCCGCCGCCCGGGGCCTCCGCCATCGCCCGCCCCGGGGCCTTCCGCGCAGACAGCGGCTCACAGAGGCGAGACGCCGGGGTCCGGCCTCGGCATCGCGGGCGCGGGAGTCGCCAGGTCGGCACGGCCGCCTCCCGAAGGCCCGCCCTCGGCGCCGCCGGCGGTTGTCCCGCGCGCCGCGGCCCGCCCCCGAGTGCCCGCCCTGCGCCTGCGCGGAAAGGTCAAGGCGGCGGGGGCGGGACGTGGCCTGGGGCGGGGCGGTGGGCGTGGCGTGGCCTGGGACGGGGCGTGGTGTAGGGCGGGGCGGGCGCTGGGGCGGTGGTGGGCGGGGCGGGGGCAGGGGTGGGGCGTGGCCTGGGGCGGGGCGGGCCCTGGGGAGGGGCGTGGCGCTGGGGTGGTGATGGGCGTGGCGTGTCCCGGGGAGGGGCGTGGCCGGGGGCGGGGCCGCCACCTGTCTCCGCAGATCCGGGAAGATGCGGGCGCCCTCCAGGTGGCTCCTGCTGGGCCAGGAGCCAGAGTTAAGTTGTCTAGGTGTAGTTGCCGCTTTTCAACCTAACTAAATCTCCCCTGCTTCCGCAGTTCTCCCGGAATTTACCACTGTCTATACTTTTATGGTTTTTTGTGTACCCTAGGAACATGTATCTTAAAACCAACAGTCCAGGGGGGCGGGGATTTTGTGTTTTCATCAGACAGTCCTGATATTGGTAGTTTGTATTTTCTTTTCTTTTTTCTAATCAAACTAGCTAGAAGTTGATCAATTTTATAAATGTTTTACAGAGTCTTCTTTTGGCTTCATTGATTTTCTGTTTTCCAGTTCATCACTTTTGCTCTTTTTAATTTCCTTCTTTCTACTTAATTGGAATTTGCTTTTCTCTCTTAGAGTAGGTGATTACATTGTTGGTTTTGGATCTATTTTTTAAATATAAGCATTTAAAGCCTGGCATGCCCCTCTAAGCACTGCTTTATTTGCATTCCACGAATTTTGGTAAGTTGTGCTTTCGTATTCCTTGGGTTCAAAGTAGTTTTAAATTTTCCTTATGAATTTTTCCTTGACTCCTTTGAAGTGTGTTGTTTAATTTTCAAATATTTAGGGGCATCCTAGAATTTTTTTTTATAGATCCATTTATTTATGCATACAAGACCTGGGGTACAGGCCAGAGATGCATGGGGTAAGAGGATTCACCAGAGACAGAGTGGGGAACAGAACAGGCAGACTGACTGAAATACTCTGCTGAGGGGAGCAGCAGGCCAGTCAGGAGAGGTCTGCTGCGCCATGTGGGTAGCTCCCTGGCCAACTGAGGATCGAACTCGTGCTGCAGAGGCTGGGGATTGCTTCATAGTGAGGTGCTTAATCCCTTGTGCCACCAAGGAGGCCCCTAGAATTATTATTAATTTCCAATTTAATTTTGTTATGGCCAGAGAAGGTACACTAAAGTTTCAAACTTTTGATATCTCTTGGAAAATATTTCACAAGCCAGCATGTTCTCTACTTTGGTGACTATTCTATGCACCTTTAAAAAGAATGTATTCTGCAGTTGAGTGATAATTATAATCGTCACTATAAATATCAATTCAGTGATGTGTTGATACTGTTTCAGATCACTTATATGCCTGTGGATTTTTAGTTTAGTTCTATGACTCACTCAGAGGGGGATATTATAATCTAACAATGACTGTGGATTTGTCTATTTCTCTTTTCAGTTAAGTGAGTTTTGCGTTATGTATTTTTGAAATTGTGTTAATAGTTCATACACCTGATTTTTATATCTTCCTGATGATATGGCCGTGTGTGTGTGTGTGTGTGTGTGTGTGTGAGAGAGAGAGAGAGAGAGAGAGAGAGAGTGAGAGAGAGAGAGAGAGACAGACAGAGAGACAGAGAGAGGGTGGGCGGGGAGAGAGAAAAAAAAAACTGTTCCTCCTATCTCTCCTAGTACTGGTTTGAAGCCTTTGTCTAATATTTATAAAAACATTCTTTCTGTCATAGATTTATTGTTTGCCTTGTAAATCTTTTCCATCCTTTTTTGTCTATTTGTACCTTTAAATTTTACATATGTATATCTTTTACAGCTAGCTTGTCATTTGGTCTTGCTTGTAAAAAATATCTAGTCAGTAATTTCTACCTTTTAATTAGAGTTTAATCTGTTTACATTTAATATACTATTAATGTGACTGATTTTGATCTACTATCTTGCAATTTACATTCAATTTGTTACATCCATTTTGTTGTTGCTTTTCTGTTCTTGCTTCCTCTTGGATTACTCAATATTTCATCTTGATTAACCTTTCGCTAAACCTTTTTACATTAATGTTTGCTCTAGCATTTATTGTATGCTTCCTTAAGTTACCTCAACGTACCAACATCTTACATTGTAGTATTTCACGTAAACCACAAGAACCTTGTAAAAGTGTAGTTCTATTTATCCCCCATTCTTCATGTTATAGTTGTCATATATGTAAGACCCATATATGTTTAATATGTAAAAAACTTTTGCCTTAAACAATTAGATATCTTTAAAGGAAATTAGGTAAACTATGCATAGTCCTTTGTATTTACCAATATTTTTACCATTTGTAGTGTCCTTCATTCCTTCCTGTAGATCTAGTATCTATCTAGTATCATTTCTCTGTCCTATTAAGAGTTTTTAAAAGCATTTTGTTTAACTTAAATTATTCTTTTGCCATCATTTTAAAAGAATATTTTCTTTGATATAGCTTTATGGGTTGATGTTGCTCTCCACCCACTCCAAATTCAACTCTGACAAAGTTATCCTGTTGCCCTCTAACCTTCATTATTTCTGAATCATATCCCTCCACCAACCCGCTCAATTTGTATTATGTCATGTTCTCTAGTTTCTTTTAAGAGTTTCTCTTTATCTTCAATAGTATTAGATTTCTTTATACAGTTTCCTATTTCTTGAATCTGTAAATGTTTATATGCCACCAAACATGGGAAAATCTTTGCCATTATTTTTTCAAATTTTCTTCTGTCCCATTCTTTATTTTCTTTTTTTCTGGGATTCTAGTTTATGTATGTTAGACCCTTTGCTATTGTCCTAAAATTTCTGTTTATTTTTTTCAATTATTTTTATGTTCAGATTGGATAATCTGTTTTTGTTTGCCAGTCTTTCATTTTCCAGTTAGCTGTTTAGCCAGTGATTTCTTTCTTTCTTTTTTTTAAAAAAATCCTGGATTTTTATTTTTTTTAAGATTTATTTATTTAGGCAAACAAGAGCTGGGGTACAGGCCAGAGATGTGGAGGGTGAGAGGATTCATCAGAGACAGAGTGGGGAACAGAACAGGCAGATTGACCGAAGTGCACTGCTGAGGGGAGCAGCAGGCAAGTCAGGAGAGATCTGCTGCACCATGTGGGTTGCTCCCTGACCGGCCAGGGGATCGAACTCATGCTGCAGTGGCTGAAGACAGCTTCATAGGTTGTGTCTTAACCCCTTGCACCACCAGGGAGGCCCTCCCAGTGATTTATTTCTAAGTTTTACTTTTCAGTTCTAAAATTTCCATTTTGTTCTTTTTTAGAGTTTGTTTATATATCTGTTTAATTCATTACAACAATGTATTTTTTAAGTCCTTGAAAATATGTATAAAAATTGGTTAAAATTTTTGCTAATTCTTTTATCTGAGGCCTCTGGGAGTCAGCTTATACTAACTGGTTTTTCTCTTGATTATGAATCAAACTTTCCTGTTCTTTTACATATCCACTCTCAAAATCTTTAAGCCACTAAGTCTATGGTGTCCTGATTAATTCCACCTGCCTTTTCTAGTACAAACTGACTAGTGCCCTCAGATGAAAAAATGCATAAGCATAAATCATACTTAGTGTACTTCAATTCTTTGAAGAGTGGCCATTACTTCAACTCTGTCTACTTGCATATAGTTATTTCCCAGTGTTGTCAAATAATTGTTTTTATATTTTCTCTACAGTTTATAAATTTTTTTTTTTTTATAAATTATTACATATTTTATTGGAAATGTTTTTTAGTTTATGAATGGTGTTGTGTTCTATCAGTGGTTCACATGTTAAGGCTTACTTTTGTAGCCATAAACACTGATAAAATCTCTTCAAACAAATAAATGAATAGTTTAGCATTTTGTAATAATAACAATGTCATTCAAAGCAGATTCCTCCAGATACATGCTAAAAATCACATAGTACCCTATCACCGGAAATTATTTATGACCAGTCATCAAGAACCTCATGTAGGTCTCCTTTGTTTGAGTTATTCAGTTTCTCAACTTCTGGGAAATATGCCAAAAAAGCTTTTAAAAAACTTATCCACAAACTAATAATATATATAACTCTTGTATTTGCAGGGCACCTTATTTTTTCACTCAGAGTTGAGGAAATTGAAATATTAACATTTCTATAGACCTTTAACCAGTGCAAAATTACTTCTTAAAATACGTTTATTATGAGTTTTAAGCATATTTCTCCAAACTTATAAATCCAGATTTGGCTCATTCAATGTATGTAAAATATCTAACTGGAAAGCTCATTGGCAAAGCCATTTGAATTCCAAGACTCTGATGCCCCTAGTGTTTCTCACATAGTCTTTACTTCACCATAGAATTATTTTTTGGAGTACAAAGGAACCTCATGATCCTTTGTTTTGTTTTCATTTCCATGTTATGGCAATTTGATACAGATCTATTTAAGAAAACCTTTAATTCCCATTTCCTGTCATTCCCAGATTTTATCTTATAAATACAGATCTTTTTTTGAGCAGAATTATTCCCAAAAATATGTGTCAGTAAAATGCCTACCAGACAAAATTACTTCTTTTTTTTTGTTTTTTTTTTTTTTTAAAATTTTTTAAAAGATTTATTTATTTTATTTTTTTTTTATTAAATTTATTTAAAATATGCAATTGCAAAGCCCCATTTGCAAATCCATTTCCCCTCCCGCCCCCCACCCCCCAAAAGTGTCTCTGGTTCATAGTTTTTTGTTGATTTTGATTTTCACTTTCTTATATTCATTTTACTGGTCCCTCATTTAAGTTTTCTAGATTCCTGCTATGAGTGAGACCATCCGGTATTTTTCTTTTTCTTTTGGCTTATTTCGCTGAGCATGTCCCTTCCAGTGCCATCCATGTTGCTGCAAATTGCATGTGTTTATCTTTTTTGAATGCTGAGTAATATTCCATGGTATATATGTACCACATCTTCTGGCAAAAACAGACAAATGTTGTTTTAATGCAGAAACAAGGTTTATTGAGAGCCAGACACTGTGCTTTGAATTTATTAGTATACAATAAACCCATAGAGGCAGGGGTTCTTATTAAACAGGGAGAAATTAAGGTATATAGAGTTTGAATGATTTGTTCTGGATTACTCAGGTATAAGTGGCAGAGTTAATACTGAGATACAGTGGTCTGGCTTCATCCTCTTAGCCATTCTATTCTATAGTCTACTCTAGGGCCATGGTGACCTCTTTGGCAATGGCCACAACTGCCAAATGGAAAAGAAAAATGTTCAGAGGAAAGGATATATCTCAGCAAAGAGAGGGAGATTGCTGGCTAGCCCCATGCTCCAGAATGAACATGAAGGACAGAAGGCTACTCAGAAACCAACTCAGAAGATTGTTAAGAAGTGGTTTTTTTTTTTGTTTGTTTGTTTTTTAGCTCACCCATGCCTTGTTTGTTGGGTGCAAGATGACTGCAACTTCACACCAGACATGGCCAGATCCAGAAGTAGCTAGGGGGATTTCTCATAGCGCATTCTTACGAGTCAGGATGACTTTCCCTGAAGCCTCCCAAGATAGACCTCCCCTCAAAGTTCACTGACCACAACTGTTTTGCATGTATGCAATGGAACTAATCACTGCCAAAGAGAACATGACCATCATATTGACTTGGTTTAGCCAGAATTTTTCTTGGAGTTGGGAATATGACTCTACTTTCCTGAGTCACCTTGAATGGATGGACATCATTCTGCCTGTAAGAAGTAAGGGAGGGGGCCTCCCCGGTGGCGCAG